CTTCCATAAATGATATCCATTTATTGAAAAATACATTTACCAATCTCACACATGCAGTGACACTATGAGGACTAACATATAAGATTCTCTGCATGATTCACATTTCTGCATGCAAAGAAGGGAACAACTGCAAATATTTAGTGACCTCCCATGATAATTTTAGCCCTTTGAGGGCCAGGGAGATGCTGAAATATTATTTCCAATTTCCCAGAATGCCCTTGTTGATCTGTCTCCGCACAGATTGGAAATGACTTCAGTGATCCTTAAGATTCCAAGCACATTCCCAGAATGCAAAGACAAAAAAAAAAAGATGCTTGGCACTGGCTGGCTGGCAGGAATAAGATTCTGTAAAACCAATTATTGGCAGAAAAGTGAGATCGGCATGCTAAATGCAGACAGCACCCCTTGTGCTGTGCCGCAATGACGATTATGAGCTGGCACAGTGCAAGCAGGGCCGCTTGGTGCTTCCCTGTCATTTGCTACTAGCTACAAGTTCTAGTGTCTGCCCGGAGTCAGGATTTGTGTTCCGCATTAAATTACCCCTCATAATAAAACCATTAACTGCTAAGCCTATTTCCTACCATGCTGTTTCATAACAAGTCATTGTTTGTTCATTATTCACAAACAGATGTTTTTGTTGGGCTGATTCTAAATGAAAGCACATAAAAATCAACTTCATGGATGGCAGGATTTTTTTTAGAGCAAGGCAAATGTATTCATATGGAGCAATGCAATGCCTTCCCTGTGGTAAATTATGAAAGTTGTCACTATACTGCGCCTTTATGTTAGGGCATTTGATATCTGCTAAAATTATAATCATCATTACCATTATTTATTAATGAGGTAAAAGGAAAAATGACTCAGGACCACCCCTCCTACTACCAGCATGCCTCAGTTTGGGAGCAAGCAGTACTAAGAGGGTGAGCAAAAACACAGGTGTGGGATCAATGTCCCTCAATGGACTTAATACAAAAATCTTAATTTTCTTTCTTGTCCATTGAGGGACAGAAACAAAGAAACTGGGGACTGCCTGCAGCTCAAGAGCCACCTGAAAAACGAGTGAGGCCACAACCTTTGCCTCATAAGAAGAACATGAAAGCAAGACCAGGTGGAATTTAGCACTGGGACATAATACATAGTGCCAGAAATAAGCAAAATACTCAACAATTAAGAAGGAAAGTCTGACAGGGGTGGGAAAATCCTGATCCAAAGACCATAAGTTTTAAAACTGGTCTACCTGATTCAACCAGAAGAGTGGAACTAAAACAAATTCTCTACAGGGATACACTGGAGACACTGACCAGAGTCACTGCTGTGGGCAAAAAAAAAAGCTTGAACCATGGTAAGAAGAAGGCACACCCCTGTAAGAACTGGACCTGGATAGAAGGATCTAAGAATTATATTTTGGTAGGAGGAAAGCAGAGCCGACCCAAGTAAGAAGTAGGTCCTGGGTCTCAACTCATTTGATCCCATTGTAGATCAAGAAAAATAGGGGTCCATGCATTAAATGACTGTCAGGGCAGACATACCTCACCAAGGTGTAGCCTACCAATGAGAACCCTAGATTGAACTTAGGACAGCATTACCTCCAAGGTTTGTAACATTGATTCCTGAAAACATATGAAGAACCAAGGTTCAATACCATGGAGTCATCATGGTCATATGGGGTAAGGTAGATGGGAAAACTCCAATACAAGCATTAATCTGGGGAAAGGAAGGTAGATCTCTTACCCACATTTTAGCAAGGAAAAAGGAAAACTTGTTAGAGCTGAGGACAAAGCTAAACTCTCGCCTATCTACAAGAAAGGAAATAGGAACAAACACCCCCAAGATGAAGCCCTAAGGGAAACTTTGCTAAAAAATCCTGTCTATCCTTGAACCTCAAAAGGGTCAAAGGTTTAGAGATGCTCCTGGCTCCCCAGATCCAATTAAGACTATGAAGTGACAGTCAGGAGTCTTATCAGAAAGGTGAAGATCATGTGTCTGGGTTAGACCAGAGTTAAGATCACTAGGAAGTCTTTCCCCTCATGTCTGTGACGTAAATGAGGAAATAAGACCTGAACCAGAGTGTGCAGATCTCAAGGCAAACATCTGAGTATTTCCTGCTATTGTCAGAGGGTTCTTGCACCAGGAAGCGAGCCTGTTTAGCATGCAGGTGACCCAGGGGAACAAGGGGCCCCTATCTGTCCTTCACCTGCAACACTGGTCTTGGAATACACTCAGATTTGTGGACTGCTCCCTCATGTCCAGAAGCAACCAGTTTGGGAGACCTGACCTGAGGAATACCGTGCCCAAAATGAGCACAGTGAACAGGGCTAGAACACATGATTCCATCCAATCAGGATCCAAACTACCTTTCTTGTCATAGCAAGATTATCTGTTCTTCCTTTAAGATACAGACATACCAACACCATGAGAGAGTCCAGCTGGTTATTAATTCTATGAGGAGGGAGGAACGACAGTTTCTGGATTTCCACGATGTTGGTCAGGAAACAACAATTCTCCAATGGGTTATCCTTCCTGAAGGTATGAATTAAAAGACCTCTCCAATCCCAGAATTGTAAGTCTGACAAAGGCAGGTAAGCAACTGACTCTGCATGGAAAGGCATGGGAGTGTGCTTGAGCCTCTGTGGCCAGAACCAGCAAAAAACTGGGTGAATTTGGCCAGAAAATCCTTTATGACACTAGCAAAGACCCTGGCAAACAAGCCAGGGGACTCTGCCTCACTGGGCAAAGCCAAGAAGGACTCCAGTGACAAGATAGATCCTAAAAAATAGGGTAACAGGGTTGCAGATTCCAGAAGTCATTGCCTTCAGAAGGAACTATTAGGGGATTGTGTGTTGTAGTCACCCGTTAGAGTGGCACTGCCACCTTTGTGTCTATAAACAGATATAATATATCACATGGCAGTAAGGCAGCTAAGCTCAGAGTACAAGGCAAGATCTCAGGTACTTACATACTCACAAGATCCAGACCGGTAGCGGGTGAGGGTTAGATGGCTTGAGGTGACCAAGCTCACTGTAGACAGGCAGTAGGAATGGACTGGAGATTAGAATTCCACACAGCACTTTGCAATGCAGTAGTGAGGAAATGTTTTTTCAATGCTGAATGGTGGAAAAGAGCGTGGAGTGTCCATTTGACATTCCACCCAGAGGATTACACCAGCCCTTAACCCTACGGGAATTTTATAGGTGCCCAGCAATCCAAACAATGTAGTAAGCTCCCGAATACTCAGCCTGAACAGCATACAGAGTGAGTATTCATGGACAGGGCAAGTGCTGAGGCAATGCCAATGGCTCTAGATTGCGAAATGCTCAATGGCTAACTTGTTACCAGAATGGGGTCTGGAAAGTGCATTATGCAGAACCTGGGGCCCTAAGGTCACTTCCAATTTAGTCTCACAATGTCCCATCCAGAAGAGTTCAGTCACTACACTCCAAAAGTCAAGCTGGAGATAGATTGTGCCAGATAGCTGCATTTGTAGAGATCAGCTTTAGCAGCAATCTAAGGAAGAATCTTGATTGGAAAAGAAAAATTAAAAAGGAAAAAAAAACTTGAGAAAATGCCAACAAAAAATAGGTTAGACTTTTCCCAACAGAGCTGAAGAAAAGCAGTTATCTTCCTAGAACACTAGCAAAAAGCTGAGGCATGCTTCTAGTGGAGTTATCCTGGGCTGGCCTACAGTTTTTTTGTTTGCAAGTTTTGAGTCCTGGGTTTTAACGACACCTTCTGGGGTCAGCAAAACCCAAAAGGTGAAGACTTCTTGTGCTTCTTAAAAGACAGGAAATAAATAAACGTTAATGCTATAACACACCTCATGTTCCGTTGTCAGTGGGTCACAGGCTAATGATGTATGACTGGTCATGTGGTCTCTGTTAATTAGGAAAATCAAAGTCCAGGCATATAATAGGCTCTGTACCGGAATCTTAGACTTCAGCATACACCACATAACCAAGAAGTTGGTACTGGTCATGTGACCTGCCTCCAAGGAGAGACTGGAGCGGTGGTTTCTTCACAAAACTTTTTTTTTTTCCTAAAGGTTTTAATTGCTCACTTATGTTCCCATTTCCTTTTCTCAAGTTTTAGTATCTTGTAGGTAAAGGCTACAGAAAATACAGTTAACTTGCTCATGGCTTATGAGTGTAATGCGCAAGCCCACCACATTCCTTTTTGTTGGCAACCTGGTGACCTGGGAACGACCACCTAGTATTGCAGGAGAGAGATTCCCCAACACACCCCACTATTGGCTGGGTCCTAAGAGCAACAAAGTCAGCTCTTCTCAGGCATTTTTGCCTTTCAGTACAATACGGGATTTACCATAAGCCACACATAGGTCCAGTTTTAGACACTTTAAAGAATTAGATTCACTGTCAACCTGTTAAACAAGATCCTACAAAACCCTTAAGGATTCGACTATGTGCGGTGTACTAGTCCAGTGCTTTAGGGAATTACATCCACAAACTGCTTATTACCTGTTACTAAATAATGCAGGACAATACGCCAGCTCAAACCACTGGAAGCCTATCATAAGGGGAAGATTAATCTTACATCTCCTTGTCGGTACAGCAGTCAGGGGCGTATCTAGCACGAGGCAAACAAGGCGTTTGCCTCGGGCGGCATTTTCCAGGGGGGCGGCCGGTGAGCAGAGGGGACCGTGAGCGGGACAGCTTCGCCTTCCGACATGAGGTAAATGCTCGGACCGTATCTCAGGGTTCTGATGAGGAAGCCGCAGCCGTTGTCAGCGAACAGCTTCCTCATCAGACCTTGAGATACTGTGTATGTGCTGTTTACTGTCAGTGTGTGTCAGCACGGGACGGTCACTCATCCCAATCGTTGGGGGGGTGCCCAAATCTAGTCTTGCCTAGGGCAGCACAAAACCTAAATACACCACTGACAGCAGTTACCAGAGCTGTATTGGAGATGCTGCAAATTTCTTCCTGCAGAGAAACTTCAGGCAGCAACAAAGCCAAAGACAATGAGAGGATTAGAACGGTGCTTACTTGGTCCTCAAAGGACAGTGCTTGAGCCACGTCGCGAGGAAAGCCGTCTATAACAATCCCCTCAGAGTCAGGAATCTGCATTAATTTCTGCTTTATTTCAGTAATTGTTGTCTCCTAGGAGGCAAAAAGGGCAAAAGAGACATTAATTGCTGGTGTTGTTAATCAGTTAAGGTTAAGTGAATTGCAGAAGTGAAGTTGCACTACCTGTGGTGCTAATTCCCCTGTGGTTATTATCTTGGCGATTAGGCTCCATTTTCTGTTGCTGCTTGTGTTGTGAATCTTTTTCCTCAACAGCTCGCCCACCGATATGTATTCAAAGCCGTAACGCTCCGCTATTTTCAAGCTCTGAGTCCCTTTCCCGCTGCCAGGCCCACCTAGGGGTAAAGAAAAATAAAAAAAATAGCAACCAATTAGCCACACAAAATAGCAGACAATTAACTAGGAAAACAGCATCTGCTGCTAAAATAGTCCCCTAGCAAACTGACAAATAATAATTATCTACTGCAAGCAAAACTTAACACTAAACTCCAAGCAGATATCAAAGACATACATTAATGCAGCTACGTATTCATTAATAATTAAAGCAGAACTCTGGGCAAAACTGTGCTTAACCCATGCAGTGGGACTTCCCTCGTATTGCAAGGGTTAAGTGCTTGTTTTTCGTCTAATAAAATGTTATACTCACCCAAACCGCAGAGTCTTCGGGAAGGTTGATTGAAGCCAACTTTGCAAATGCCCTGTAAAAACTCAATGCCCACAAAGCTCTTATACAACCTGAAGACCCAAGGGGCAAATGTTTTTAAAACATTTCTTGATGCCCATAGGAGTCAATCAAAATCCTTGTTTCAAATCCAAATCTGCATTGCAGGAATGACAGTAATTAATTGGTTGCTTTGGGCACCACAAAATGTGATTTTAGTACACAAAGCTTGACTTGCACAAAGCTCTTCTACAAGCTGAAGCGCAAATGTACAAGCAACGAAAATCAAATACCAGCGCCTTCAACTGCAGAATGGCCAGCTCTAATAATGATGGATACACTGTAGAGGCAGCTCCCAAAAGGTCACATAGACCGCCAATCTGAGAAACAAAGAACGAAGAACATTGCACCCACAATACACTGATCCAGGGCTGTACTGGCTCCAATCCAATAAAAATAATAAATGCCACAGTTTGTCTTTTATGAAGAATTCTGCATTCATTATTTTTTTTTCTAAAAGGTGGAATTTCCTTTTAAAGAATGGAGCAGAGAAGCGGATTCTGCTTGAAGGGACTTGTTTATATTTGGTTTACATTTGACACAAGAGTCTTACTTGTCAAGTTCACATTTTTTTTGATTGGCGTCATATACAGTTCATGTTTTACATTACATAATTTATGCCAGCATGATTTTGATTTAAATGAATACGTGACGCAATTAGAGCGCTGCACTATTTTATCATTACTGTTGTTGTGTTACAGCTGTTCACTTTGGGTTTTATATTAAAGTGTTCTCAAGAGAAGCATAGGATTCATTGGTTTCTCATTAAAAAAAAACAAAAAAAACTTTCCTGCCCCCATAGCCATAGCCATATAATATTTGCATTGGGCCAATTAGCCCAATTTAGCTGGAATCCTGGTTTACACAAACTGGTTCGCTCAGCTCCATTAAACATACAATTCATCAAAAATTCAAAGTGCGGCTAAGTCTTCCGAGACATATGACTGATGCCGCTCTAAACACCAGTCATATTGAATTTTTGTGACAGGCTTGAAGTAATTTCATCAAATATTTAAATGGAGCTGGAGTCATGTGGCTACTGCTGTGCAGCCTTCTATATACGTCTTAATCAACTTCAGCCATATTCATAAAACCCGAAAAAAGTGGAGACAATCTGACTCCAGTAATAATTCTTCTGCTGCATGTCAGAGGATGAAGGCAAGTATATGGCTGGTTGCAGGGTCATTCCTACCATGAGGCTTGGGGAGAGTCTTCTGAGGAACCCTTTAGATGCAGACTACAATGAGATTCCACCTCAATTATGATGATCTACAGATGGCTTTATTCCCTGTGGACACTTACAAAACTGTGCAGGGGGAATGATCAGGATCCCTGCACTGTTACCAATGGCAAGGAGAAGGCCTACGCCTACTTTTCAGCTTATGGATAATGCCTCGCCTTTCTATACATGGAGGCTCAAAGTGATGGTAATGTCAAAAGGTTATTGAGTCATTTCAAATGCTGATGAAATCACTTACAAAGGATGCTGCTCCTTGATGTTTACAAGGTTTAGTTTCCTGCAGAATAATCTGGTCCCCTGAGCACTGGCCCTGATATTCTGTTTTAAGGTAGCTCCTTACCTTTAAAGGGGCCTATGGAGCCACCCTTGTGTGTGCTAGTAAGCTTTGTGTGTCTCCACAATAACAGGCACAGCAAGGCAAAACCCTGATCTGCTCCATGCTCCCCTCCTCCCTCCTTCAAGCTACTAGATAAATAGCTGCTGGAGACTGTGTGATCTTATACTGGACAGGAACTTCAGGGAAGTGGAGCTGAGAGAGTTGGGGCTGTTCAGAAACATGATGACTAAGTGCTTGGACAAAAATGTAGGCAAAATTTAGCAAACAGAATTTCAAAAGGTTAGCAATGATTTGAAGGGAATGTACAGATTGTATTTATTATGAGAACAAAAAAATTAAAATGTAGACTTTTCCTTCTTTTATCTCATCAAATATTGTATTTTTACATTCCAGTCACAAATCAATCTCCTTTTCACATGTTTACCTGTTTATTCTTAGCTGCTGTGTTGACAAGCTAAGTAGCTCAAGCTGCAATTTATACACAGAGCTAAACGGGCAAGAAGAGGATTTTTTTTTCTTTTTTCAGATTTTATTGAACAACAAGAGACAAGAAAATATTGACTTCAGTTCTTTCACTGACAGACCTGGGGGGAGGGACTGTTTCAGCTTCTCTGCCTTCTCTTTGTCTGTGATGACCAAAGTTTACAGGTACTTGCTGCAGCGGACCTTGAATTTCACATTGTCCTTGTTCTTCTTAATCTTAACAGATTTGGCATCCTTCCTTCTGGCTGTGAGAAGGAAGTCTTTGATCTCTTCGATTTTGCGAGGCATGGCTGCAGCGCTGTATCCGGGACCGGCTCCGTCGCCAGAAAACCAGAAGGGTAGAAAGGAAGAAGAGGATTTAATTCTTCCCACCCTTACTGTTTACTCAGTTCAGACAGGGCAGCTTGGAACCTCAATCAGAAGACCCGGAAGGCAAAACGCTTTTGCATAGTGCTCTGTGGGTTCTTTGTCATGGATGCACCCTGTATAACGTGATTAATTCAGACAGAGGAGCTTGGAGCTTCAATTGAGAGAACCAGAAGGCAAAAAGCTTTTGCATAGTGCTCTGTGGATTCATTGTCATGGATGCACCCTGTATAAAGGGATCAATTCAGACAGAGGAGCTTGGAGCTTCAATTGAGAGAACCAGAAGGCAAATAGCTTTTACATTGTGCTCTGTGGATTCTTTGTCATGGATGCACTCTGTATAAAATAAATCAATTGTAAACCCTAAGATTATTATTATTATTATTCAGGATTTATATAGCACCAACAAAATGGAGAGAGAAAGTACAGTTACATTAACTGGATGGTTAGGAGGGCCCTGCTCGTGAGAGGTTAAAGTCTATTAGATTATATAGAAATAGAAACAAAAAAATGCAAATCAGTTTGAAAGCATGCAGACTTTAAAAAGAAAATATAATGTACCCCCAAGCCATTACCGTTTCATTTTATAACATATACATACCAATGACCAGTATAATTTGTGGGTGCGGTCTGGATGGATCGAACACTTCGTACTCCTCAATCAGCTCTGCGGTCTCTGAGAGGTCGGTATCACTTTCTATAGAGAACTGGTGGATCGGAGGCAACCGGTCATATCTCCGGTAAGGAAAGTTGCAACTTTCTGGCAATACTGAAACAAAAAATGGCGAGGTTCAGTATGACAGTATTAAGGGAGAATTCTGAAAACAAAATTACATTATTATAATTGAAGAAAACCCGTCATGAAAGAAATACATAAATTGCTTTTGTTGGCCTCTCACACCAGCTGCCTGGCTATCATGCTGATCAGAGACATACCTAGCCCAGGATGAGGAGTGCTATGCGCCCAGTGCAAAGCAACATACATGAGGGGTGCTCTACACACCTTACAATACTGCAATTTCATGTTTACCTAGAACAGGTGTAGGCAACCTCAGCACTCCACTTGTTGGTGAACTACAAGTCCCATGAGGCATCGCAAGGCTGGCAGCCACAGACATGACCCCCAAAGACAGGGCATGATAGGATTTGCAGCTTTACCACTGCTGGAGTGCCAAGGTTGCCTACCCCTGAGCTAGAGCATACCTAAAAAAAAAAAGAAGCTGAACTGCAGATAAAAGCAGCACAAATAATTGCAGATATGTATTTTATTGATACATTGTTAATATGTCTGTGAAGGTTCTCATTCATCCAGGTCATGGTATATTGCATACATGGTATTGCATGGCATTCATCCAGGTCATGGTATTTTTTATAGATATACATTGTTAATGTTTTTTTTTTTTAAATGCAAGCAGTGCAAACAACTGAAATCGACCTATATCAGTCACTTGCAGTCTACAGTACAACAGGCCATAGAGAGGGGAAGGGAGAAGCAGCACAAGGAGCCAAACAAGGAGTGCTGCAGTGCAAGGAGCATGCCATTAGGAGGAGAGTGCAGATAACTGCTCTGCATCAATCTGCTGCTTCTCCGTTCACAGGCTGGGGGTGGTAAGGGGCCTTGTAAGCAGTGGCGTAACAATCACCATAGCGACCAAGGCAGCAGCTATGGGGCCTCGGGCACAGGGGGGCCCAGTCCAGGACATTCCTGATGCCCTGCGGGCCGCCTGGGTTGCTATGGCGACTCACGCTGCTGGCTGTCACTGGCGGCTCTAATAGAGAGTCTATGGTGGGCTCTGCAGGGTCACCCTCAGGTGGGCTGTTTGGGATCTCAATTGGGCTCTGCAAGGGGTGTAACTAGAGATCAAAGGGGCCCCATACAAAAGTTTGCTGTGGGGCCCTGTGATTTCTAGTTACGCCCCTCCTTGTAAGTGAAAGTGAAACTACAGCAGAGAAACTTCAGGTGCCCTCCCTACCTGGCAGGTCTGTGCTGTGCGGCAGAGCTGTGAAAATCTAATAATATATATTTATATTACACACACACACACACACACACACACACACACTCTTATAGGTACAACAGCTTGTATTGAGCAGTTGGTCTGGGGTTCAAAAAGCAAACCAACAGCCTTATAAATTACCATTTCTGAAGAACGCCCGCCGCCCCTGTCCACCGTTGAGCGGAGGCAAGTTTCTTTTATCCGGACCCACGAACGTGTCCCACTTCACCTTCTCTGAGCCTCCCAGCTCTTTCACTTTCTGTAAGCAGTTTTCCAAGTAATCCACAGGGTCATCCGGCCTGTAGTACATTAATCCATTGAGAAGGCCCTGGAAGTGTGGGAGAGAATATTCAGAGTGAATGCAATTTATTTCCAATTGATCGAGTTGGGTCTGTGTCGCTGCCATCACCATGAACGCGAGGAATCAGATAATGAGTTCACAACTAGCTGCTAATCTGCTGCTATTCTGAATTGACAATTATCCCTGGCGAAAATGAACACAGAAGAAGAGATTATTTCTGTTTGAATTTGCAGGAAAGGTGTTTACTCAACAAGATCACAAGGAATTTCATTTTTAAAAAAAATGCAAATTTCCTTTTGCATGGTAAAAATATATAAAGTGTTAAACATTTTGTATTTCTACATTCCAAATCCTTTTCATGTGTTAACCTGCCTATTCTTAGCTGCTCTGTTGAAAAGCTTAATAGCTCAAGCTGTAATTTAGACACAAAGCTAACTGAGCCAGAGGAGTGACTCAGTCTCTTAGGAGGACGCTAGTTTGTGTCCTCCCGTTACCCCAAGGAGAACTATGGGGAAAAGACTTAACACCATAGTTCTCCTTTAAATTCTCAATCGTTTTTTCAATTATGAATCCGGATTAAACAAATGTACATCGCCCAGCAAAGCATAACTTTAAATTTTTGCCCGAGCTCTTACAGTCATCCTGTTTCCAAACAGCTCGAACTCTCTCAGCTCAGCTTTCCTGATCTACCTGTTAAGTACAAGATCACAAGGGACAGAGCAGTCTCCAGCAGCTGTTCATCTACTAACATGGAAAAGGAAGGAGGGAGGAAGGAGCAAGTAGGCGAAGGGAGCACGGGGGAAGGAATTGTCTTGGCCTGCTGTGTCTCTGTGTTTGTGGAGACACACGCAGCTTACTAGCGCACACACAAAAAGTGGCTCCATAGGACCTTGCATGGGAAAAAAGCCAAGGACAGTGTCAGCACCAATTCAGAGATGATTTGAGGATCTACAGGCGAGGGGTACACAAAATAAGATACATTTTTGTTAATAGGTGAGTTCCTTGAATTCATTTTTAAGATTTAACTCTTGAGTTTAGTGTCACTTTAACTGCCTGAGCACCAGTGTTCATATCTACCCGCTGCAGGTCCTCATACCTCCCAACTGCCCCTCACTTGGAACGACAGAGTGACAATAGAAGAAACCTCTGCGACTTGTACAACGGAGCGAATGAAATCTCCCGCAATTGTGTATTTTATGGTTTGAATGCGACATTGGTTTCTTCTTTGCCACCTTGGTTGGTGTGCCGATCATTGCCGTCGGCTGGCTACTCTCCCACGCACAGCTTTATAAATGTCATTTTTGTTCCTCGGTGGGGTTCCGTTCCCTTCCCAGACGTGACGGATTGTTACTGTCAGTCGGTTATTCTTTCCATGTATAAATCTTCTGATAATGCCATAGTTATGAAGGGATTTGGTGCTGCGTCAGCCAACATGTTCATGACAATCTGCAGATCACAGCTCTATAACGCCTCTTAAAGAGGACCTGTCTTCAGACCATTCATTCATGTCAACAGAAATCTTCATTCAACATATTTTAGGCATGTTATTTACCTGTAAAAAGCTCCCTTGCAGGGCTGTCCCTAAGGTAATTGCAGCTGAAAAGATGTGCTGTCACTCGGGGGGGGGGGGATGGAGAGCTGGTAGGGCAGTGATGATTCGCCATTCTGGGGTGAGGGCGGATGTGCCGTCACCGGCTCTGTCTGGCTTCCTGCCCTCCTTACTAAATTCACTGGTAGCCTGGAGCTTGGAGGGATGGAAGCCAGAGCTTCATAGGTTGGCAAGCGCCCTTAGCAACCTGGGATGCTGTGGTCACCCCCTGCAGCCCCCACCACCACCCAGCCCCCCCCCTAATGAGATGCCACCTGTGTCAACTGCCCTCAGGCCTCCTCATTAGGGACAGCCCTCCTGCTCCCTTGTATAGACACTCAAAAGTCCTGAGCTCTCACTCTCATTTATTTTACAGAACATATATAGCTTTCCTCCATGATTCACACATTTTAATTAAGTCCATTTAGAAAAAGAATGCGACTCTTAGCTACAATAAGAAGGAACCTGTAAAACAAGACAATAACTAGAACTGGATATGGACTCGTTTTGCTAATGTGCTCCTCGGTGTATACACAACGCAATATCCATTCACGCTACAGGGCATAGAACAGCACTTTGCAGTGCTAAGATAAAGAGGATGCCGATGGGTTCTAGGTCACGGACTTCCTGTTTTAGGACAAATTATTGTAATACTGCTGTAATTACTACACAGGACAAAGGTGCATTGATCTGATTGATCCAATAAGCTCTTGGCTTACAAGTCGCAGTTAGGGAATTTCTTACATTGCTCGTGTGTCCTTGTGAGGATGAGCAGTAAAAAGAACAAAAGACATGTAAGCCGATTATCCGCAGGGGGTCTTGTAGGTCTAGGCGGAATAAAGCAGCAGAATCCAATAGTGAGTGTGAATTGGAGGGTCAGTTCTGAGGGTAAATCGCCCACCAGGGATCAGATTGCAACGGATTACTCGTTCTCAGGTCTTGCCCTCTCTGTTGGATTTTTATTGCTTTTTTGGTAAAATAGGAGGAAGTCAGGAGGGCGAGACTCCATGATGCAGAGATTGGAACATTGTACTATGGCAGCTGCAGATAGATACAAGAAGACAGCGGATATTCAATCCACCAACAACCTTCTAAGCTCGCTCCCGTGATGGACTACAATCTCAAGTTTACTTAGCTAACTTGTATTGAAGTTATAGTCTATAACAGGAGCGAGCTTGGAGCGTTCACTACTTTACAACACGCAGGGACCATGGGGAACAAAAGTAGCCCCCCTCCAGAAGGAAGGACAGTGTCAGCACCAGTCCACAGGCGGGCAGCACAGTGTCAGGGAGCCGGAGGATGAGGAGGTGAAGGCAATGAGAGATGAGGCTGCCGAGGTCCCCGACAAGCGTGGCAATCTCGGGCAGCCGCATTTGTCTGAAACCGGATCTACCTCTTAGCTGTGGGCGTCTGTAAACAGGCACAGGCTGATCTCAGAGGAAGATCCGGGTTCTGGCAGATGCTGCTGCCCGAGATCGTGCTTGCCGGGGACCTCGGCAGCCGCATCGGTCAGAAAATTAAAAGTGACGGTGTTGGCACTGAGTGGCTTGTATCCGGGTGTCCTCTGGTTGGACACCCGGACACAAGCCTCCAAAACTGGACTGTCCGGGTGAAAACTGGACGGGTGGCAACCCTAGATACACAAATAAGATACATTTTTGTTACTAGTTAAGGTACTTGAATGCATTGTTAAGATTTAACTCCTGAGTTTAGAGTTACGTAATAGGAAAGTTAGAGTTAGAACCTCTATGAGGAATATTTTGCAGTCTGTGTCCCTAGTGGGAATTCTTCATGTCCTGTTGTGTCTCTAGGACAGGAAATGGTGGAAATGATCCCAAATGGTGATTCTGAGTGCAAAAAAAAAAATCTGACCTTACCCACCCTATCCAAAAATAAAGAGAAAATGTCTCTACTGTAACACCAGTAAATGTTCGGCTACAAAGCTACACTTCATATATTGATGTTGCCCACAGGGACCTAGAATTGGTTCTTCTAAAAAATCCGGCACACAGAATAGAATAAACTGCAGATAATCAGTTACTTAGTTAAAAGTCTTAAAAGTTTCGCTTGATTAAAATTTAATATGCTTAGAATGAACTGGCCACATTGGATAGAAAGTTAATTAAATTAGCATAAATAGGATTAGAAGCCACAGAAGGGGTTACAGCTATTACAGAATGATTATTATTACAAAAGCTGCTAATGATGCTGAAAGAGTACGAGAAACTGTTCTATATATTCAATTATACTGGGACTTAAAGCAGAAGTGCAGTGTGCGCATATATTGCCTTCCCTTGTCCCCCTCTCCGCCATGGATTACCATGCAATTACAATTAATTTTTATATCAAATAATTTAGTTTTTAATGAAATAACGGTTTGAGACATTGATGTCATCACTGGGTCTGTCTACTGTTCTTTGCTCTGAGTTCGTTGAGGGGCCAGCAGGCTCCTGTGAGCCTAGGTTCACACCTGCACTACACCGCATGACACCCGGGATGCACAGGATCTTGTTCAGGTGCACACAGCGATTGCCATTTAGCCCCATTGATTTCAATGGGTGTCATCCGTGCTGCAATCGCTAAAAAAAAAAAAGTACCTTTTTTTGCAACAAACGACTCTTGGCTTTTTAGCCGTGATCGTGTTCACTTGTATGGGCGGAATTACGGCGGGAAACCGCGCCATCCGCCCGGCGCAACTGGGGTGCCATTAGAAAATAATGGCACCCACAGCGCGATCGGTTAACACCTTGGTGACTCCCGACTGCGCGGCAATCGTGCACATAATCGTGCGGATTGCCGTGCGGTCAGGAGTCGCCTACTTATGAACCTAGCCTTAATGTCACAGCATTCTGCCTCTGATCTTTTTCAAAAGCACAATGTGAAAGAACACATCCCGGGTTCCTTTAAGATGCTTCTGCTCCTCCCTGCTGGCCACTGGTGTGGCAGACTTTAGCTGTGCAGTCAGCTGAGTGGTTGCAGGCATATCTAAAGGGATGCTGGGAATGTGTTCTAAGTATATAAAAAGTTTTATTTCCCAAAGCCCCCCCCCCCCAACAGTAAAAATAAATAATAAAATAAAAAATTATAATAAAAAATAACAAATGTAAAAAATAATGTAAAAAAAAAGTGAAAACTGCCCCCCCACACACACATATTATTAGACATGTGCGAAGACTAAAAATTAATTTCAGATGAAATGTGTAATGCTCTGTGCGTTGTGCTGTGGCTGTATGTGTAATGCCCTGTGTGTTGTGATGTGTGCGCGTTGTGCCCTGTGTGTGTTTGTTTGTGTTATGCAGGGCAACTGGTGGCGAGTAACTTTGAAGGCCTGGCTAGTAGCTCAGGACCTGAAATTTTGAGCCCTGCTCTAAGGTACCTATTGATAGCGGATTCTGCCCTGCCAGTGTAGTCATGGTAACAGGTAACAATATGGCGGCACACAGCACTGCAGTAAGCCTTTTTTTTTTTACTGGAAGACACAAGCAGAGCCTCCCTTACCCCTCTCCCTTGTCCTCCCACCTGAATACATATGTTCTAAAACTCTGTCTACATCAGGCATAGAATTGGATGTGAGCATAAATTTAAATGACTCAAGTCTCATCCGCAGACATGAAAACGATATTCCCGATACACAATATAAACCTGCTGGCACACTGCGAGTTAATCCGTTGCCAACAGTTCCATTAAACAATTGTACCAAGGACACGGCTTGGAGAGAACGGGTGTTAAATCCTCATCTGCAATCAATGGAACAGCTATTTCATGAGTTTTAATGACCAGGGTTAACGATTAATGCAGTTAGGGTAGCGGTAAATTAATTCAACTGATTTTAGAAATCAATACATTTCGCAGATATTATTATCCACGAGCCCGATATACATTTGCCGCATACTCACATTGAGTTGTGCGGAGGAATGTGATCTGAAACTGACCATGAGGTAGACCTAAACCCTGTAAGGAGAACATTACGGTGCACAGTGCAATGGCAAACTAAAACAGTTTCCTTTTTCTCCTTCATATAATACAAATTGAATTGTTTTTTCATCCTTCTTTACATCTCAGTGCGGCTGATCTCTTCCAGTCTCTTTCAGCTACTTCCTGTCTACGTGCAGTAGATAAAGCGTCAGCTGCTCATCATTGCCTTAGACCAGCTTGCTGATAATGACAACGCTGGACCATGCCCGCTCAATATTTGTCCATGTGGTCATTTGAAGTCTCTTCCGGGGCGTCTGCGACAGGATGAGCAAGTGGGAAATAGTTGTCAACCCATAACAGGAAGTAGCTGAATAAGGACTTCCATTAGGATTACCAGCAGGTGTCTATTTAAAAAAGGTGTAGCTTTAAGGTCGCCATACACTTTACAACCATCGCAAGACCTTGGTCTTGCGATGGTTGTAAAGTAATTAAAAAAACGTACGATCTGCCCATCTTGGACAGGCAGATTGTACTTGCGATCATCACAAGCCCGCCCCTGAGGGGCTTCCGATTACTGCAATGCTGAACGGGCAGTGTGCGCACACCGGCCCGTTCGGCATTTGTCTCCCGAGCACCGTTCAAACCAGCCGAAAATCGTAAGATTTTCGGCAGGTTTTCTAGCTGCAGCTAAAACTAGCTGGCATGCTCCTTAGACAAAAGATGTGCGACCGTACAGTAGAAACGGTCGCACGTCTTCATTCACACTGCACGATTCTCGTACGATCGCGGGATTTTCCGCGATTCTCATACGAGAATCGTGCAGTGTATGGGCACCTTTAGAAAGATTCAAGTGAACTTTAAAGCTGCCCAAACACCTTACGAATATCGGCCGATTTCCGTATGCGATCACGTTTTCGTAAGGTTGATGGGCAGTGTACAACCGCAAATACTGTACAATCGTACGACTTTTGACTTTCCAGCAGGTTAGAATACTTTGGTCGATCGTACAATTTTCGCAAGGTTGGTAGCGTTTCCGTACGGCAAAATTCGTACGATCTACACTGCACATGCGCAGATGAAAAAACCGTGCGGTCGTCCATGTGATTTCTTCTAATTACCTCTGATCCAACCTTGCGATAATCGGGGGCAGGATGTGGCCGCCCTACGAAAATCGTACGATGGTTCGATCGGACGAAAAGTGTCATCCGATGATCGCAAGGTGTGTGGGCAGCTTTAGAAAGACATTAACGCTTATGTGAGATTTTAGTAGCGGAGCTTAGACCCAACTCAACAGCCCATCTACACTGGCTACGGGGACCGGCCTAGCAGGCAAGTGCTACCGAGCATCAGTTGAGCATATTGTTTTACACCCTAGACCAAAACAAGCACCTAACCCTTGAATGGCGGGGTAGTCCCACTGCAAGGGTTAATCTTTATTCTTCCCGGAGTTCTTCTTCAACATTGCCCATTGCTTTTTACTTTAGGGCTCTTCACACCAAGTGCATTAAGCTGCCTTGATCAATGCAGACCCAACACACGGACGCAGCAAATACTATTGCTGACTATGTGCCCAGTTTACACCAAAACACTACGCTGGGTAAGCATGTGGACATATTGCATTTTTTTGAAGCGCACTGTACAAAAACGCATTACAATGTGCATCAAACCTGCCACAAAGAGCTGCCGCACATTGAATTACATAGAATTTGATAAAACAAAAGTGTGGGACTGCAATGAGTTTTGACAATGCATACCAATCCTGGTGCACAGTTGGCACAGAATAGGAATTGGCATCGGGGAAGTTATATTGGTTGGGAAAACGCTCTGCCAATCGTCGACAAGAAGAGGCTCAAGCCTATTTATAATCTGTTACACAAACCAACCAGCAATTCTGATTCCTTTTATTAGCTTAGGTGAGAGTAATCAACGTCGCCTTTATTTGTTGCCATGGGCGATTGCACTTTATTGAAGAAATGCCCTCACAGTTATTCCTGTATAAGGTTAGGGCAGATTTTCTTTATACAGTAAACTCCCAGTTATCCGGCACCCACGGGGATCGGTTGGTGCTGGACAATTGTAGTTTCTAGCTGCTTGAGAGTTAATGGTAACTCTCAAGCAACCATCCCCACGATGCCCCGTTCCCCCCCGCAGCCCCATTCCCGGCTAGCTTCCGCAGCCGACAGGTGAATGGAAAGCAGCCGGGAGCAATAGCCAGCCTGCTATTGGTTATTTCAAATTGCAATAGTAGGCTGGCTATTGAAACCCCACCTACTGAGCCGAGGAGCAGACCTGAGAGAGAAAGTGGGCGGGTGCAATAGCCAGCCTGCTATTGGCTATAACAATTTCAAATAGCCAATAGCAGGATGACTATTTCTCTCCCATTGTTTACATTCTGCTGCTGACTGCAGGAATCTAGCTGCTGGCCGGCAGCAAAATGTAAACAAAGAATTTAGTTAGCAACTAAATAAATGTAGTTGCTAAGGAAATTTTTGGTGTGCACCAAGCAACTGGCAGCTTTTTAATGCACATTAAGCCACTGGCAAAGATAAAATATGTCCTTGATTTTTGTTTCATCAGTTGCTTGAGAGTGCTGGTTGCTTGAATGCCGGATAATGGGGAGTTTACTGTATGTATGTACAATATATATATATATTTTACACACAGACATATACATATTAGAATAATCAGTCATACTGCTACATTCCATAATCAAGTGGCACAGCAAGTTACCCCAGATTCACAAGCGATGTCCTATGATAAAAATTAACCTTCTAACAGACCAGCATAGCTAGATAAATCAATCAGGGACGGTGCAATCCTAGGCGACACCTCACCTTGCGGAAATCGTGCACGTTTCCGTGCGGATTGCCGCACGGTCACGGTGCCACCCAGCACAGACTATCGCTCTATGGGCGGCAATAATTTGTAATGGCACCCCAGGCGCTCCGGACGGATCGCACGGTTTCCCGCCGCCATTCTGCCCGTGCTTCCGAACACGATCACAGCTAAAACAGCCGCTCACCATGTATCACAAAAAAAAGGCACATGTACCTTTTTTTTCTGCGATTGCCGCGCGGATGTTACCCCATTGAATTCAATGGGGCCGCTCGGCAATCGCTGCCTGCATTGTGCGGGACCGCGTGATCCAGGAGGTTTGCACCAGGCCTGAGGGGGGGAAGCTGGAATTAGTTTTTTGCCACATTTGGTCCTCCAATTGATTTTTTGGCACATCCGTTTTGTTATCATACAACAATCCAACAACTGCATACCATACAATGAAACATCTGTACCTGGAAGGATGCTGACAATATTTTAGCAACCATCTGTAATTTGTGAATTGATTCACTTGCTTGAGGGAGTCTTTCAGTGTTTGCCTAAGGAATTAGCCGCAAGGCTGGCGTGCAGTCCGTAGGCTGACCCTATGCTTTGCCTACATATACAATCCTACACCACCAATGTGCAGGGAAATTTAAGTTCATGGCAAGTGCACAGAGCAAAGGTGTGCAGCTACCCGGAGCATCACCATCCTGGGTTCCAGCTTCCAGCAGTTTAGTACAATGGAGAGGATTGTTTGCTACTTTGGGTTATTGCATTCTGCACATTACGCCAGGCATGCATGTGGTAAATCCTAAAAAGTAGGTTAAAATGGAATCATAAATACTGATGTATGTATTATTAATAAGATAGATGATAGATAGATAGATGTACACGTTAAACTTGCACCTACAAGGTTATATTGGTTGGAAGCCCTTTATACCTACTAAGGTCAGTTACCACAATGTGACAATTTTTAAAGATCAAGGGTATGCGATAAACCCAAAAATGAAAGAAAAAAGGAACCAGATTTAGCTTTCATTAGTTTAAAACATTCCGAACAACAAAGGATTGTGTCTCATTGGCTTCTATGGCTTTTTACCTTATGCTCCTCGGTCAACCCTTGGCATGGATGTTAAGGTGAGGACAGCGCATTGTGAGACAGGTGCCGCAGGTCTCCTTACCTCGAAAAGCTGGGGTATCTCCCTCCTGGTCAGGTACTCCTTGGAGTCATTGCTGTTCATGATGAAGCTGCGGACCAGTTTATCTGGTGGGTGAGGATTAGCAGGGAGCTGCAGGCTCCTCTTCGCTGCTCGGGTTCAGCCTGAGAATCTTCAGCCCTGAGCCACAGATTCCCACTCGTGCATCGATGTCCAGTCACACCGGTGTCCACGCATCAATGGCACGAATCACGTTGGTTGTCAGCCAGCAGCCTTCGCAAGTGAGTCCACCTCCTGTCCCAGAGACGCAGCCCTCCCCTGACTCATGCACAGTCCTCCTCGTGTCACCCCCCCAAGCTGAATAACTACACACACACACACCGGCTACATCCTCACCATCATCATTATCTGACTACTGCATGGAGCTGTCTGAAAGCTATGAGCTACAAAGCGGTGTGCTGATTACGACTAGGCACAGCTTGGCTGCTGAAGAGGCTTAATGAGCAGGCAGGCTTTCCAAGTCATCCCTTTAAATACTGACACATCTAAGTTACCGCTTATGAGAATGATCCGATTCTTTAGCATTTAGGTAGGGCTCAACCGGACCACATTCTAGTATTCTAATATTGTTATACAATATGGAGAGATATTATAAGAGAAGTATAATAGAAGACAGGGTTTAAACCTTAAGTGAAAGACATTCACACCTGAGCGTTTTGTTTAGGGTTGCCACCTTTTCTTCAAGTGAAACACGAACACGCTAGCGTCGTGTGGACATTTTTTTGGGGGAGGAATGAGTTGCGGCTCATATGTAAATCGCATTCATTGCATTCATATGTAAATATCACAGTTGAGACTATTTTCAGTGGGGGGCCAGTAGCCCCTATATCTTAATTTTGGTTGCCCCTGTCTGCCTGACATCTTGTGTCCGGGTTTCTGCTGCCATGAAACCTGGACACAGCATTCAAAACCCGGACTGTCCGGGTGAATCCTGGACAGGTGGCAACCCTAGTTTTGTTGCATGTTTTTTTGTGCATTTCCCCCATAGACTTCAAAGTAACACCTCGGCCCTGATTTACACCTGGGCATGTTGTTGCATGCTTTTGCGCATTTCCCTGAATCCTATTCTTTTTTATTGTGGCTGGTAACATACGCTCAGTCAATTGAAACTCAAAAACTTATATTAGCTTTATTTGGAGCTGCGTCACGCGTTTTTTGCCTAAAGGCTTCAATGTAACCCCTGGGCCCTGATTCACTACTGAGTATTTTGGAGCTTGAAGCTCAAAGCTCCAAAATGCTCATCAACCCAAATCCCATGTCTGTTCACGTATGAGCGCTCAGATGCCTGTAGCTTGACGTATGAAGCTCAGAAAGGTGCAGTACATGAGCTACTTTTGAAGCAGAATGGGGCATTTTTGTCCCCATAGGCATCAATGCAGGTGCCTGAAAAACGCATAAAAAAGCCTGGAAATTAGCATTTTTCAAGGCTAAACAACTGTCTCCTTCTCTGACCAATGACGTCAGAGGGCACGCACGGCAACATCACGCACAAGCGTGATGGCGTCACGGCAGGGTGTCACCCAGCCTCGGGACACCCCTGCTACATGGCATTTGTCAGGCCATAAAAAAGCCTGGAAATTAGCATTTCTCAAAACTAAACAACTTTCTCCTTCTCCGAGTTAGTACTTAGCTTTCCAATGCTTCCCCCCCCCCCCAAATTTTTTAACACACTGATAAAAACGTTCCAAAATTGCCTGTAATCGCTCACGCTCAGGGGTGAATGCATCCTCACTCTAGCGTTTACAAGAGTTGTTGGTTCCAAAGAACTGGCTACATGGCAGTGGTGTCACAAGAAGGGGTGCAGCCCGCACCACGGTGCCACCATTGGAGGGGTCACACCAAAATTACTGACAGTCATTTTGGTGTCACCACCTATTAAAAGTCGGGAACTCGGTCACGGACCGAGAGCCCGACAGTGTCTGGAGAGAGGAGGGGGCCCGGCGGCATACCTCAACCCGCCGGGTGAACCTCCCCTCCTCTCTCTGCCGGCGTCCATCACCAAGATGGCCTCGGGACGCCCCTGCTACATGGCATTTCTCAGGCCTTCAGATGGTGACAACAGTGGACCATGCCTGCGTAATGTGTGTTGAGGCAGCCGCTGGAAGCCCAGGTGACAACACAGGGGCACAATTGGGAGACAGAGACAGAGTGTTGTTACCCTATAACAGGAAGTGCCTGGAAAAAAGACCTTTATGGTGAGATCACCTGTGATTATTTTAATGAAAGGATCCAAAATAAAAAATAAAGCACATTAAAGCAGTTTTAAAGTCCCAGCACATCCTCTCCTGTTATAACATCAGCATTGTAATAGGAATACATATTAGAGTTGATTCTGATAATGGAATCAAAGCTTACATGAAAAAAATCCCTTTTATGTAGTGAGTGCTGCCTACCGTCTGCCCATCACTTCCAACAACTTCCTGGATTCCCAGTGTGCTTTGCATCTCTTTCCTTAATGCTTAAAGTGATGCTATCCCAATTTCTCAAGGCTACATATTCCAGCAAGCTATGATAATGTTACATTGTTTATACTTTGAATGGTGGTCCTGAAGGCAGGCTCTGTGAGAGTGGTGACAAAAGAGGAAGTACATATTCACAGGGCTCAGTGAAACTGTGTCAGTGCACAGCTGGAGGGCCGCAGTTGCCCACCCCTGCTTTAAACCTTGTTACCAACTGATGCCAATGTGCAGCCAATGACACAGCTGTCGGCGATAAGTTAAATCTCTGACTAACCAACGTATAGCCCCAGAATGAATCAGAGTCAGAAGCGGTATATTTTCTATTTGCTGGTAATTAAAGGGAAGAGTTGGTGACCCTCTAGCCGGCATCCCAGCCCCCCTTAGAGACGCTTTAAGTTCACTGGTTGACTTGTCTCTGCGATTAGAAGACAGTCTGAGCCGTACTCCTACAGTACATGACAATGCCGGTTTAATTAAGTCTGTGTATTAAGGCCGTGACACACTGCACTCGAAGCAGCGCGGAGCGGTGGCGCGCTGCATTTGCGAGCAGTGTGTCATGTCACTTTCTTCTCGGCACCTCAGCTGGCGAGAGCTCGCAGAGCTGAGCGTGCCGAGATGAACAATTTCAACTTCAGCCAATCGGCTCGCGCGTATAAACCGGCGCGACGGGATGCGACGTCTGGCCGGTTGTTACAGACGAGCCGATTGGCTGAAGGTGCAGTCAATCATCTGACTGCACTCAGCTCACACACTGCACGCAAAGCTCCGTGCCGGAGAGCTTTGCTTCGCTCTGCACGGCTTCGCGTGCAGTGTGTCACGGCCTTTAATGTGCAGCGCTCAGCCCTATGGAGACATTCGGGGTCTGCAGTGTCTATTTAAGGTGGACCTATCGGAGTTGCACAGAAGCAATGTTTGCGGTAATCCAATATTCAGCGCGTTAACCAGACCTCTACCATCGCTAATGAGGCATGCTGCAGCCACGCATGTGAAGAACAGACTGCTGGTATATAAGAGCTGGCCATACACTATATGGGTGTAACACGGGACATGGTCACATAAGTACATTCAGCCTTTAACCCTGTGTTAGAAGAGGCAGTGTTGAAATCTAGTTTACAAGTGATAATGAAATGAACACAGTACAGACAGGGATCATTTTAGTAAACATTAACAGCACCATCCTTAACGTTGCACAGTGGGGGAAGCTAGGTAAGATTTTGAAGGCTTTTTGACTAAGGGATGATAAATAAGGTGAATGGCTTACTTTATTCCCAACTCCTCCAGCAGCCTTTATCCATTTTTATTCCCTTTATCAAATGCTACAAGAACAGAACAATAGCTGTTGATTTGCCAGTAACCCAGTGAGCTCTTGACTTCCTGTTTGGCATGACGACACGGTGTATTTGTTGCAATGAAATCCCAACAGGTGTTGTCAGCCCTGATTGTGGAATAATAGTACTCCATGTTCCCCCAACCCCCCTTGCCCCATCCCACATGCATGCTATGATTTCTTTCCCAGCAAAATAATGCTGCTGTCTTGACTCCCAAGGGCTTTTTCCACACAATGTGTATGGAGAAAGGGCTTTTGAGAGAAGTAGTTCTGGGGGATATGCTTACGTCAGTAGGAAGCATTTCAGTTGTTGCCCCTGCAAGAATTTTACGAGTATGGTGATGATCTCTAATTGTCTTATTCCATAACTGAAGACTTACCATTGATTGTTGATGGCATGCCAAGCTCTTTTTCTCTAATTTTAAGGGCTGCTTCACACCAGCCGGCTGTGCTAAATGCACAGCCATTGGTTTGCACTCACAGGCAACAGTGCTGATGCAGCGATTGAGGCGCATTGCACTGTTTTTTTTTTTTTGCTAAAATGTTATTATCATTTATCTTCATTAAAGCCCATCTCCGGGCAAACAAAAAACTTACCCTTGCAGTTTGGTTACCTCCACAGTGCAGTGCAAGGATCAAGTGCTTGTTTATGTCTAAAGGACATTATTAAAACTGATTCCCACTCCCGCCATCTCTGTCCAGGCTGCTAGACCGGTTCCCACAGTCTTTTCTCACATTTGCTCCAATACCAACGTCATCACATCTTATGCAGGTGCTTTAAACAGCAGGACACCAAGGGACATGCCAATAGTGGAGGGCAGACATTCCAGAGCAAAAGGGAGGAAGAAGTGAGCACTGAGCACTATGTCCAAACCCACTGCAAGGGTAAGTTTCTTATTTGCCCAGCGATGGGCTATAAGTTCTATCGGCCAATTCAAAACAAGGCACATTGCAATCCAATTTGCTAGTCTTGACTTAAACACCTGAACACCTTGAAAACCTGAACACTCTAGTGCCCCGCATGGCAATTTTTTGGGGGAGAATATAGAGGAGAGGCAACCTGGAGAAAGAGCAAGAAGAGACAGCCAGGGGACGGAGTAAGGAGACCTGCTATAGAGGACAACAAATCCCAGCAATACATTATACAGCAATACAAAATAAGATGAGGCTACAGTACATACTCTGTGTTGTTCTGGGGTGGCACCCTGATGTCTCCAGGGTCTCAGGTGGCCTGTGCGGGCTCTCACCAGGGCTGTGTTGGCTCTCAGGTGGACTCTGTGGGCTCTGAGGCGGGCTATGCGGGACTCTGATGTGGCGTGTGTGGTGTCTCAGGTGGGTTATGCAGGCTTTCAGGAGTGCTGTGCAGGGTCTAACAAGGGGTGCGGAGGCGGGCAGCATGGTGTCAGGAAGATGGAGGAGGAGATGTGCCGGCCGGCGCCTGTAAACAGGGGCTCACAGGAAGGCTGAAACCCAGACTGTCCGGGTGAATCCTGGACAGGTGGCAACCATAATGTAGACAAGCCCAGTGATGAGGTCAGGGGGTGTAAAAAAAAAAAAACTGACCACAGGAACAAGATAAAATAAATAAATAATGTTGGGGCATTCCCTAGAGGAGGAGAGAGG